GGCAGGAGGCAAATAATCAGAGTCCATTAGAGAGTCGATGTAAGATCCACTTCCTCAGGCAGGGGGAACCCGCAATGCATACCAGTAAGAGACCACCCGCCAAGCTATTAACACCAGGGGCGGGGTGGAAGATGGAAGTAGACCTGGGAAGGCAGCTCCAGTTCCCACAGGAGATATGCAGCACCACATTAAGACCAGACGTGGTGCTGTGGTCTGCAGCTGTGAAGTCAGTGATACTGATCGAGCTGATAGTGCCATGGGAGGAGGGACTGGAAGCTGCCTATGAGAGAAAGAAGGCGAAGTATGCAGACTTGGTTGCGGAGTGCAGAGAAAGTGGATGGAGTGTGAGGCTGTACCTGGTGGAGGTGGGAGCTAGAGGCTTTGTGGGCAGATCAATATCATGCCTGCTCAAGGACCTGGGACTATGGGGAGCCACACTGAGCAGATCCACCAAAGAACTCTCTGAGGAAGCGGAGAAAGCAAGCCACTGGCTCTGGCTGAAGCGACGAGACAAGGCTTGGGGAGTAACATCAAATTAGCTTTTGCTGCAGGGGGTGTCAGGGAGACGTCCCTGTTCACTGCCCCGCCACCAGGAAACGTTCTGGGTTAAGGGGCGAAATGTCAATGAGCGGTCGACCCCAGCTGAAGACCCTGCAGAAAACCATGTGGTATGCGGTCAGGTTTAGGCCTGCCTCAGGGAAGAGGACGCCCCTGCCATGCATAGTCCACCATAGGCACCGTAGGAGGTGCGACAGGCCTAAGGTTCAGCAGAAAGACCACCTCGCTGTAATGAATAATAAAATCTTTATTAATGTTATGCTGCTGCAGAGCAAGAAGACTAGCTTCTGCTAAATGCTCGGATCACAAAATTTAAAGTAAACATGCTGCTGCTAGAGAGAGGAAGAGCTCCCATAGCAGATCTAGACATGTGGTGCTGGGGAGGTGGTGGGCTAAGATGAGGACATGCATAGCGCGCAGATATAGTATTCATTGAATATGTCCTGGTTATATAAGTAAACTGTAATGAGTATGTGAATCTGATTGGCTGGGAACACTGAAGTGAATGAACCAACTAGAATGCAAGTAGAGTTTCATGGCTGAACTATTCATATTTTGAAAAAGTAAATGGCGCAAATTATTCTTTTAAAATTCAATGAAATTTCTGTGAATAATGCTTTTCACAACACATTTATGTTTAAAAGCAGCTTACAGCAAATGTTTGTTTCAATGTCACAATTAAGTGATCAATGTATCAATATACTTAATATCTATATGGCAGTAAAATACAGCTACAAATTATGAATGACAATGAATGTGTTGGGCAAAAAGTACAACTTGTGCTCGTAATGATGACAATACAGGGATAGTATTACAATATAAAGATAATATTTAACAGTTTTGAATGTTGATCTAAAGTTATCTGACGTCTTTGCTATTGTTGGTGTTGCCCGAAATCTCCGCAAAGGGTGGATCTAAACTGGAGCTGGCACAAAGCCTTCAAGTGTTCAGTAACCAAAAATATTAAAGTCTGACATGTCTCATACACACATAGGCCAAACCGATGGGTGCTCTGAGGACACAGACATAATTGTGTCCTCAGCACATGTCCGTGTCTGGCTTCAGATGTGAAATGATGTAATGATTTATACACACTTTGGTTGGTGGTGAGTAGATGAGACAGGAGTGTGTGTGTGTGTGTGTGTGTGTGTGTGGTGGGGGTGGGGGGTGTGGTTGACAGCCTGAATCACCTCATCATGTTCTGTAAGGGCTTCATACACAGGTAACAGGAAGTGACTGAGACAGGGGGAGGATGGAGAATCATCCTGTAAAAGCCCTTGAGAAAATCTCTCTCTCTCGGTTGCCGCAACGTAGAAGCTATCTCTCACCCACGCACTCTTGTGGAGCTCTAAGCATCTGGGGACTTATTTGCATTTTTTCAATCGAATCTGAATATCTCTTATTACAATCTATATTCACAGGCCCTGCTGGTACTTCTATTCTGCAATGGCTTTCCTGGTGTGTTTTTTCATTAATAGAGTGTGACAGAGGGGGCTGGGTGTTCACTAATGGATCTGAGAGGTGATCAGATATCAGGCACAACACGTGAAGGGCAAAAAGAGCATAATTAAGGAAAACATCTTGCCTTAGAAAGAAACTCCAGTCAAAAAGGAGCATTCTGCCTTTGTTCTGCAATCCTGAGTGATCTTTTGACAGAAATTGCCGTGTTTCTTTCTCTACAATTCCAGTAATTGGTTGTGTACCAATCTTTGAACTTAAGCATTGGACCTTATCATGTAAAACCCCCGATTTCCATATAAGTCGCAAGTAAGTGTTTGATGAAATTTACTTCTAAAATGGAAATCTGAGCTTGGAAGACAAAAAGATGAGGCAGCTGTCAAATGTTGTGCAACATAAGATTAATATCTCAAACTCAAAATCATTTAATAGCCTTTATGCTTCCGGAGTAAAGAGCAGTATTAAATTGCAGGGTCTTGACAGCTGATTCCGCACCGGCTCTGTACTGTCATGGCGACCTCGCAGGATACTCTCTGTTCCTGTTTTGTGACTCAGTTGGACACTCTATTCACATTACGTTTATGGCAGGTTACGTAATAGTCATGTTAACAAGGAGATGGAAGGGATATTGTTTATAAAACGCAGGGCTTTCTGCAAAGAGCTCAGATCAACACACACACAGATTACTCTCACACAAAGTCTGCCTGTTAGTCTGTCTGGAATTAAATTCACCTCTGGACCCAGGATCAAAGGTGAATTATTACAACACTTGAGAGCTTCATAATCCAGGCACCAAGAGAAACAGAACTCCACTGAAGCTGAATGAAGCATTAGGATGTTGTACCGATCTGTTAGACCGTGCATGCCAGGCTTTGGGTTTATTTTGAACCCTTTAAAGCTGGTGTTTTATTTTTATGCCATGCTATGATCACAATTGTAGACATAAATATTGAAACAACTGAAAAGAACAGGGAAAATATAATAATTAAGAGCAGAATTAATTAAAACATTAACATTTTTAAGTAGAAAGACAGAAATATTTTTCTTATCAAAAGTACAGCACTCCAATATTCTGTTTTATTTACAAATTCGAAAAATAATGTTTTACAGTGCTGGAATGTAAATAAGAGTGATGCTACCAACTACCAATATTTACAGGAAAATATTTAGTTAAATGATGTTATCCATCACTATGTGGATTTCCAATTTTGACATCTTGCATTTGGTGCATCTTGCGCCTATCAAAACAACGCCTCACGGACGTGAACAATAAAAAGAGAAGGACAAACAGAAACTGATTAAAAAGCTTTTAAAAGAAAAAAATATGTATCACAAATTAAAACTCCAAGAAAGTGTTGCAAAAGAATTTCCTCTAAAAAGAAACAAACCAACAAATAGAAAAGTATCACAATTCTTGGCATATTTATAATATGCATTGTTTTTGCAATTAAATACAGCTTTTGCAACTGTGTCATCATTTTGAGTACACTGATATTCTCATCGTTTTTGTGCCAGATAAAACTCCTCTGAAGGTAATTTACATAATCTGAAAGTTATATTTTCAAAATGATATTGCTTCCTTAAATAGCTGCAGTGCAGTTAGCTTTGTTGCATTAGCAGCTTGTAATGGTTTTTAAATTATTAGTATCAGCTTGGAAAACCACATTTTCAAAGAAGCTTCCCCAGCACGATAAATACTGAATGTGACATTTTCACAGTCACTGTAGCAACCGTTCTGTTGCAAAACACTTACTCTGCACAAATGCTAATTACAAGTAATTTACTTTTTCCTGTTGTTTAACCTCAAGAACCTTAAAATAAAAAGGAGTGTTTAATAAATTATTTAAAAGCATTAAAGGGATAGTTCACCTTAAAATTGAAAATGTTACTTACCCTCATGTTGCTCCAAACCTGTATGAGTTTCTTTCTTATGCTGAACACAAAACATTTTATTTTAAAAAGAGTGCTGGTAATCGAACAATTGATGGTCCCCCTTGACTTCCATAGTATTTCTTTCCCTACTATGGAAGTCAATGGGGACCAACAACTGTTTAGTTCTTTAAAAAAAAATTAAAAATCTTCTTTTGTGTTTAACATAAGAAACACAGGTTTGAAATGAAATGAGAGTGAGTTAATGATGACATAATTTTCATTTTTAAGGTGAACTATTCCTTTAAAGTTTCACATGATTGACAAACTATTGTTCTCAGACATCAAGCAGTGTTTCAGTGCTCTGAACAGGTACGTCTGTAGTTTATACCTGTTTATTTTCCACCCTTGAGTTTCAGAGTGTCTGCAGAGTGCTGGTGTGGGCGTCCAGAGATGCGTGGGATGACTGGGGAGAAGAGACCAGACGCTGAAGCTGTCAGAGCTTAAACAGACGAGAAAGTGAAGCACTGCTCATCATGTACTGACTCACAGATCACTGAGGTAGCTTGGAACGATATGAGTGGGTCAGGAAACAATGATGTCTGAATCACCTCAGAAGAAGCAGTGGTAGAGAAAGCAAGAGAAGTGGATAAGGAGAAAAGACACCAGAGGAAAAACATAAGTGATAATTGAGACGCCAGGTGAATTTGCCCAGTCATTTTGAATTATTCATGCCTGAGTCAGAGTAAAAAAAGGCATTAGAGACACACACACATAGAGATGGAGAGACAGACTGCAGAATTAAAAAGAAAGAGAGCAAATAAATGAATGCCAGAGAGAATAAATGAGTATCAGGTTGTCTAACCTCACTCTGGGGATTCAGGCCAGAGCTTCCTGTAAATGTACTCAACACTGGGCATACAAATCCTTTCCTCATTACGGATCTTCTTTTAACTTTTCATCTCTTGTTGTGGGAAAAAACTTGTATTTCCGTTGTATTTAAGTCAAATGTTCAAACAAAGTGTGATGATGCAAAGCTTCTTTATTACAAGAAATCTAAAAGCCACCCTCAAGTGTTTTCAGAGATGCTCCAGAGCACAATATACTCAAAATAAGCTCAAAACACCCGCTTTTATAGCACACACAAAACAAAGAACTCAGCGTCCAAGGAACCAACTACTTATCAGCTAACCTTGAGGCTAAAAGACACTCCAGCAGAAAGAAAGTCTCCATCTACCATAAGAAATTAATGCAACTTTATAACAAGAGACATTATGACTGCTCCCATGGAAAAGAATGTAGTAATACTAAAATACAAAAAGTATGTTAAAAAAAAGAACACAAAGAATGCACAGTACTGCATGCGCAAACAAGAATATCCAACAGGATAATTACACAAGCATTCAAAAGTGAGAAAAGATACACACACAAACGAAGATGGTTTTGCAAACCCATTAAGATTCCCAAATCTTTCACTTTCCAGCAACAGAACTTCAAAGATGAGTCATTAGTCAAACATAATGATGAGAGTGTAACAATAAAGAGTTTAATTTTCAGATTTTTTTCGCTGGAATCAGCCTTAAAATAACTGCACAAGCACAGTGCTGTCACAGTTTGTACAGAATAATTTCTCTATCATAATGCTTTGTCCTTT